GCATTGAAATGTCACACTGAATTCCTAAAAGGTCTAATAGAACTAGTATGTGGTCAATTTATATTTTCAGAAGGAAATGTTGGGCAAGAAGGCAATCAGTCAAATATGAAAGAAAGAATATTGTATGAAATAAATGATCCTGTTTCTCTGATACATATATGCTATTTTGAAAAATTACTTATTAAAGAGACTTAGGAACCATGCCATGTAGGGCCAATTCGAACATTTTCCAATGATTTTTAACAATGGGAAAAAATGAGCATGGTAAGAAATTATGTAATATTAAAACTATGTGAGTGAATTATCCTTAAGAGTCAAAATGGCATTGGGTTGTGCTTTTTAAAAGCCTGTTTGTTAGAGATACTGAACTATTTATAAGTAACATGATATGATGCTGGCATGTACTTTAAATAACTTCAGCATCGCTGCCAACACAGTGGAAGGAGATGAGAGGAAACAAGTTTTGTAACGTATTAATTATTAAAATTGGGCGATGAGTCCATAAAGTTTACAATACTATTTTTTTCTGTATGGCTTTAAAGTTTCTATTAAAACTTTCTAAGTAAAACTGAGAGAATCAGAAACATGTGAAAGTCATTACAAATGAAAGTTCTAGGAGGCTTTAGGAGAGTTACTTTATTTCAGACTTTTACCAAAGGACCTCAAATGGTCTGAAGCTCAACCTTCAAAAGAATGACTTTCAAGCCAGGCGCTGGTGGTTACACTTGTAATCCTCACCACTTAGGAGACTGATACCTGAGGAAAATGGTTCAAAACCAGCCTGATCAGGAAAGTTTGTGAGACTGCCAAAAAGCTGGAAATGGAGTGGTGGCTCAAGTGGTAGAGTGCTAACCTTGAGCATAAAAGCACAGTGACGGATAGTGACCAGGAACTGAGTTCAAGCCCCAGGAGCACAACAACACTGCAAAAAAAGTGCTTTCCATTTTTTAAATTCCCAATGTGGAATAGTTTATTGAGATAAAAGAGGTTTATAGTTTTAAAAAATGGGGAAAGAGGGGCTGGGAAGGTGGCTCAGTAGTAGAGTGCTTGCCTTGCATGCATGAGGCCTGGGTTCGATTCCTCACCACCACATAAGCAAAAAGAAAAAAGCCGGAAGTAGAGTTGTGGCTCAAGTGGTAGAACGCTGGCCTTGAGCTGAAGAGCTGAGGGACAGTGCCCAGGCCCAGAGTTCAGGTCCCACGACCAGACCCCCCCCCCAAAAAAATGGGGAAAGAGAGTCAGGAAAGGAGGGGAAAATAGAGGAGAGAAGAGAATAGAGAAAGAGGATACATTTTTACAGAAAGAAAAGGTGAAGGTTTTGTATTTGCCTTGGATTTTTCCCCCAAGGTCTCATTCTATTTGAGACAAATTTGGCCACAGTTTTCTTCCTGTGTCCTTTTAAATTTCTCTTATCATTATTTATCCTTTCAACAACTTCTTACATATCAGATAATGTGCAAAGTACAGAAAGAAATGAGCAAAACCAAATACATTCCTTTATCCCATAGTTTTTATAGTTTAATGAGAGACGTTCATTAACCCAGTAGTCACACACAGATGTTTGCCTATCAACTAGACCAAATTCTGTGAAATAAAATAAGAAAGTACCATGCATGCAAATAACATGATGTGGGGAGGCGAAGACAATGCCTTTGCAAAAGTGGCCCTGCTGTCATTAGATATAAAGTCACAGGTCTGCTGGCTTTACACTTTCAGGCATGACAGTGTCTGTTTTCCAGAATACCATCCTCCTGGGAGGACAAACAAAGTAAAAGATACTACTGTAAGTTTCACTGCACAAACGCTGAATTTAAAGCCAAAGACTGCGAGTTTTCATGGCCACTTAGTAGCTGCATCATTGTCATCATTGCCTGTAAACTTCACTCTCAACTCTCTTTCCTTATCTGTGACTTGTGATGATAAGGCCCCCTGCCAGGTGATTTATGATTGAGTACAATAGTCTCTGTGAATGCACTCCAGGGAGCTGATTAAATAAATACTGACTTGAGAGTTGCTTTCTTTCTGTTGAAGAATATAATTTACTCAGTCATTTGTCCTTGTTCCATCAGACTTTACTAGGAAATATGTAGCTTGTGTCTTTGGTCTGTCACTAGTCACTTCTCAATCTTCCTTAAGAACATTAACCAACCAAGCCCAAATCTTGCTCACCCTTCTGCAGGCTAGGCTGTCAGTGGCAACTAGGTGAGGGTGGGGGGTAGGGGGTGGGGAGGGTCCACAGGGAGCATTTTGCTGCAGTTCTGCCTGGTTTTTCAGAACTCTCTGGCTTTGCCATTACCTCTTCAAAACATACTAACTCAGCCTTGACACATGAGTGTTTAACACACTGACACATTTGTCTTCTCATTGCAAGTGTTGATAGCTAGGTATCGAACACACTGATTTGCTTGCTTATGAAAGCCTATATGGGTTATAATAGCCACTTCAACTGTCACTAGGAATGATTGCTTACAGCTTCAAGACTCTTCTAGACTCAAGTAAACACATGCTAATTTGGTGTCTCTCATGGAAATGCCCAGAATACTGTTCAGGAACCTCCTAGACATGTCATTAAAATGTAGGTATTCCCCAGAGCTACTGAATCAGAATTGCTAGGGCAAGCAAATTTTGATGACCATAAAAATATAAACTGGTGAAGCAAACTCAAAGTTATTCACATGAATAAGGCTTTAAGGACTCTATGCAATAGATAATACTTCCAGCCAGGACATTAAAGTACATGGAAATGTTTTACAAAAATTGGACATGAGAGGCTGGGAAGGCGGCTCGGTGGTAGAGTGCTTGTCTCGCATACATGAGGCCCTCGGTCCGATTCCTCAGCACCACATAAGCAGAAAAAGTCGGAAGTGACGCTATGGCTCAAGTGGTAGAGTGCTAGCCTTGAGCTGAAGAGCTGAGGGACACCGCCCAGGCTCAGAGTTCAGGCCCACAACTGACAAAAAAAAAAAAAGGACATGATCAAAAATGAGTACAATTTAAGAAATATAAATTGAGTGATACTGCAATACTGCACATGACTTTCATGAAGATATGCAAATCTGCCCATTATGGAATGAAATGGTTAACTTTAATGGCTTCAATAAGGTATTTTATCAACCTCTGATTATAAGAATAAGCCCAAGATATAATCATCTGCCTTGTTTGACTTGGTCTGTCTTCCACATTCATTCTCATTAGTCAAGGCCAAAATACTGGCTGATAACTTGCATAGTCCATGGGGCTGGCCACAGAGATGGCTAACATGGTTAAGACAGGACCACTAGCCACCTAACCCAATGTACTGAGGACAATGGGAGCCAGAGTTTTTAAGGTTTGGAGAAAGAAGTTACAAATATAAAAGAAACTAGGAAAGGGTGACACAAATGCAGCAGTGGTACTCACTGGATACTATGTTTAAAATGAACTATCCAACTTGTGGGTGGGGATGGAAGGAAAACCTGGGAGACAGCAAGGGAAAGAGTGACATTGTTCCAAAAGAAATGTACTCATTACCTGGCTTATGTAATTGTAACCATTTTGTACATCACCTTTATAATAACAAAAAAAATCAAGAAGAAAAAAAGCCTTAAGATTTTGAAAAAACAAGCAGCTAGCATAAACACTGTGGAGTTGGATTTGGATTGAAAGGTAGGGCTGGGAATGTGGCTTAGTGGTAGTAGAGTGCTTGCCTCGCATTCATGAAGCCCTGGGTTCCATTGCTCAGTACCACATACACAGAAAAAGCGGAAGTGGCGCTGTGGCTCAAGTGGTAAAGTGTTAGCCTTGAGCAAAAGAAGCTCAGGGACAGTGCCTAGACCCAGAATTCAAGTCCCAGGACTGGCAAGAAAAGAAAGAGAAAAGAATCAGTGTGGATTTGTGGGAGGGGACTTTATTTTTGGTGGTACTAGGGTTTGAACTTGGGGCCTCATGCTTGCTAGGTTACTACTCTACCAAAAATCCACACCTCCAGACACGCTTTGTGATGATTACTTTGGAGATGGCCTCTACCCAAGTTTTCTCCCAGGGCTGGCCTCAAACTGAGATCCTCTAGATCTCATCTTCCTGAGTAGCCAGACTTACATGCATGATACAAGCATGATACAAGCCACTAGAACCTGGCTGAATTCATGGTTTTTGGATACACACACTCACACACACACACACACATTCACAGAGACACAGATGTATGTGTGCATATATGCAAGTGATGTCAATAGAAACAAGCGCACTGAATAGGAATAGTTTCTAAATAGTAATCTCAACTAAAAGAAGTCAAGGCTCTTTGGAGAAATGACTGATTCCCAGAATATGGCAGATGAGCCTAAAACATCTTCTTGTCCTTCTGATAAGCACTCAAAAAATGATGGGGACATGTAGAAAGCACAGGAAGCCATTTTATAAATAATAATACACAGTGAATAGAAATTTATTGGTTCATATTTACATAATAAATACATGTGCAAATATTTGTAGGAAAAAAGGAAAGCTCTACCTTATGAGACTGCAAAATAATAATCATTTGGATAATCAGAAAATAATCATTTAGGAAGTTAGAAAATTACCATTTGACAATTATCATAGTAAAAATAATTCAGTCATAAATCATTAATAGATGCTAAAACTGATGGGCAAAATTTGATCAGGAGCATGATTTTTTTACACAATCTCAATGCATCTCTCTCCAAAATGTAAGGAACCTTGCTTGCGATCTCAGGACTTGGGAGGCTAAGGAAGCAGAGTCACAAGTTTGAGACCAGCCTAAACTACTTAGTGAGACTCTAACAAAAATAAAATTAAAACCATGTGGCTCTTGATATTATGCACTGAGAATATATCATTTCTGTAGTATTCTTACCAGAAATGTATAAACTGAATCTAATCATGAAAACAAGACCAAACTGAGGAATATTTTACAGAATAAAAATGATAAGGATAACCTTAGAAACTATTCTGGAATGAAGACTAAAAAGAAGTGACAATAAATACAACCCATGATGTTAGACTGGATTCTGCACTTACAAAGGATATTCCTGGGATAAATGGTAACATTTTAATGGAATTTGTAGAATATATTAGGTACTAGTAATAGTTCAATATTAATGTTTTATGATTATGTAACAGAACATTTTTAGGAAATACACATTGAAGCATTGAGGGGCAATGGGTCATGTCTACAGCTTGTAAAGATGGTTCTAAAAGCCATAACTAGAAGCAGAGAGAATAGCTGGGTGTTGGTGGCTCACACTTGTAATCCTAGCTACTCAGGAGGCTAAAATCTGAGAATCCCAGTTTGATGTCAGACAGGGCAGGAAAATCTGTGAGACTGTTATCTTCACTAGAACAAAACAAACAAAGCTGGAATGGGAATTGTGGCTCAAGTGGTAGGGCACTACTGTCCTTGAGCAAAAACAGCTCAGGGAACAGCATCTAGGCTTTTTGAGTTCAAGCACCAGACCAGCATGACAGAAAGACAGACAGACAGACAGAAAGAAAGAAAGGAAGGAAGGAAGGAGAGAGAGAGAGAGAGAGAAAGAAAGAAAGAAAGAGAAAGAAAAAGAAAGGAGGGAGGAAGGAGGGAGGGAGGGAGGAGAATGAAAGAAAGAGAGAGAGAAGGAAAGAAAAAGAAAAGAAACACAACAGCCATTCTTTCATAAAATTGAAATTTCTTCAAAATGTAAAGTTTTTAATGTGTACATTCAGTCATATATTGGAAGTTTATAAAAGCTTTATTAAAGAAGTGCCAAATCGGGAGGGAGGGGGGAGGCTGGGAAGGGAGGTGAAGGGTAAACAAAGGAGGAGGCTGCAATGCTTGGTAAGAAATGTATGCATTATCCTGCCCATGTAATTGTAACCCCTCTGTACAGTATGTTCTCAAATAAAATAAAATAAAATTAAAAAAAAAAAAAGAATAATCAAAAAAAAAAAAAAAAAAGAAGTGCCAACTCTGAAGATAGACTCAATGTAAGAGCAAAGATTTAATTTCCATAAATAAGTGAATAGTCAGCCGCTAGCCTGGGAAAAAGCACCATGTAAGGAACATCAGTAACTCAATCCAGGTGGAACAGGGTATTATCTAGGATCTTAGAGCTCTTCACTAAGAAAAGCAGCCCTTCTTGTCAGACAACAGGTCTCAGACCAAGTGTGAGGGGTAACCACGTCAGCTGAAGGTCTGCTCACAGCTTGCTCACATTCATTGTAAAGATGATCTTGTACCCACAGTTCTTCGTGCCCAATTCCTGACTTAGAAATTAGCATAATGTTTAGGTTTAGGTTAAAATAACAAGTTCTTGATTTTTAATTTTTGGACTAGAAATGCTAATACTTTCCATTACTACTACTACTACTAATGAAAGCAACTCATACATATTAAACCCATACTCTGGGTCAGGTCCTCTTCTAAATATGTTATTTGCACTGTTTCATTTACTCAACTCTATTTCCCTATGAAGTAAGGACAATTATTATTCTTTTAATATTGCAGTTAAGACTACTAATACTCTTCGATTAAGATCTCCAGGATCATGTAGCTTTTAAGTGGTTTGAACTCAAAGCTTTCTATGTCAAAGTCCATTTAATTAACCACTATCTAAGATGCTTGATAAGCCTCAACATTTTGTGCTTCCCTCTATATTCGTGTTTTATAGTAGTAATTTGGGGTCAAAATCCTGCAGTTAATATATCATCTCACTAAAAAACAATCTGAGATACCCCAATGTAAAAAATTAAAAATAGCCATCTAAATACAAACCCAAGGAAGAAAACTGCTCTGCAAAAAAAGAATCTCTTAAGTCATCCTTCCTACTTGCATCATACTGCCTAATATTTGTGAATGCATCAATGGTGTTTGTATAGTTGTTTTTAGTTAATACTTTGGTTAACAGGCGGAAGGCAGAACTTGTTTAGAAAAGGCTTCTAAATATATTCATCTCCAATTAATTAAACTAAGCTTTTAATATCCCTTTATATTCTTTTTATTGTCATTATAAAGGTGATGTACAGCCAGGTGCCCGTGGCTCTCACCTGTAATCCTAGCTACTCAGAAGCTGAGATCTGAGGATCATGGTTCAAAGCCAGCCTGGGCAGGAAAGTTTGTGAGACTCTTATCTCCAATTAACCACCAGAAAACCAGAAGTGGGGCTGTGGTGCAAAGTGGTAGAGCGCTAGCTTTGAGCAAAAAGGCTCAGGAACAGTGCCCAGACCCTGAGTTCAAACCCCCAAACTAAAAAATAATAATAATTTATGTACAGAGGAGTTACCGTTTCATAAATCAGATGAGAATAATGAGTACATTTCTTTTAGGACAATGACACCCCTTCCTGTGCTCTCTCCCTTATATTCTAGCTCCAAATCCCTTCTAAGTTATCCCTTTCCAATCCCAAGTCAGACATGATTTGCACCTAAATCTGACTCTTGAAGCATTGCATTTTACTCTAAGACGTAATTTTGGTAGTGTTGAGCACTTTCATTGAAACCTCCCTAAATCTAAATCCAAGCTGTGGTTCTGCTTTTCCTGACACATCCCTCTTATATCCCATCCTCCCTGAATAAAGAAAATATAAAAGTTGGCTATTAAAGCTATTCTATTATTTTCGCGAAATATTCTCTTATTTCTCTTATTCGTGAAGACATGGAAGTCTGTTCCTTGGGAGGCAGACTTTGTCAGGAAAACCAGCATGCAGGAAGCTTTTCAGGAAATACTGTCAGGAGACAGATTTGAGCAGAGGGAAGCTGAACTGAGATGTAGTGCAGTGCAGGCTCAGCAAACCCATGAGGACTCCTGGTCCTGGGATTGCCATTCTAAATAGTGGTGGTGCAGTTGAGCCTGTACACATCCGCATTAACAAGGTTTTGAATATAGGCTACTCTGAGAAGGGGCATTTCACTGAGCCAAGTAACTCTCCTCCGCTGAAGGCCATCCATTAGCACGCCCAGGAGCAGACAAGATTAAGACCCTCATTTGTGAAGGGAGACAACTATGTAAGAGGATCTTTGTCTTGTCATGGAGCTACCTTCCCTAACACTGGCACACATACATGGAAATATCAAATCCTTAGCACTTAACAATGAATGCCAATTAGAGTTTGGTTTGTTTTTGTGTGTGTGTTTGTTTGTTTGTTGTCAGTCATGGGGGCTGAACTCTGGGCCTGGACGCTGTACCTCAGCTCTTCAGCTCAAGGCTAGCGCTCTACCACTTGAGCCACAGCGCCACTTCCGGCTTTTCTGCTCATGGGGTACTGAGGAATCGAACCCAAGACCTCATGCATACAAGGCAAGCACTCTACCACTGAACCACTTTCCCAGCCCGTTTGTTTGTTTTTAAGAGGCACAGAGAGATGCTACAAAATACTGGTTATGATCTGTTGAAGAGATACAAACACGTGCATTACATTCATTGTCCAGTTTTAAAGTATTTATTAGGAAGATTTCTCTCTTGCTTCCTAATAAATCTTTCAAGATTTACCTTCTGTAGTTCTGACTCACCAGGCATTGGAATACTTAAATGTTCCCAAGCTTCCTATTAGAATGTGGAGACTGCTGTCTTCTTCAAAGCATTACCATTTTCTTTTTCCTTCCTTAGACTTCTGCCATCTTGTACCTCACAGATGATTTGATACTGCAGGAACAGAGTGATTGCTTTCTTCTGCCAGGTTCAATGTCTGGCACATAGTAGGTGTCATGGTGTATTCTGGATGAGAATTCAAACATCTCCTTTAACACTGGCAAACATTTCCATCGCTCCCACAGTGTTTGTGCTATGTAGTTCACAAGTCTGTCCAGCATACAGATCCATTTTCCAGGAGCTTTGCTCAGACATGGAACCAAAAAAAAATTCAAGATTAAATCTCAAGCATCCTTCTCTTCAAGTATCCAAATACATAGCTGGTACTTTATTCAGTTATGCCCTTCAGGTTTTTTTTTAAGATGAGGCTCATATGTAGTTAGAAATTAATCAAAAGTCAAACTGCTCCAACAAACGCCAACCATATTATCCACTTGGAGAAGGAAGATAGGCAGCTTCTTGCTACCTATCTTTCAAGGCAAATGTGTGAGACCCACATGAACCATTCAGGGGCTTCTGTTGTCTCAAGGTCTAGCAAAGGTGCCTACTCCTTATTTCTGTTTCATGAATCATTGAACAGAGCTGTTATTTCATGGCCAAAAATAATCATTTGTGATCTTAAGACTTAAAGGACATTAAAAAGGATGTAAAGAGAGGAAAGGAGGGAGGAAAACAGAGAAATAGAAATCGTCTAGTCATCTGTGATACTTCAGATGCTTTTTAAGTCAGAGCTTCTTTCTTGTTGTGAACCTTAAAAGCATCCTGCATCAGTTCATTCATTTGCGTAATATTTATTTTGACTCTAGTACAATTTTTTTTCCCACAGGCATCTGATAACCTCATTCTTATGAGTAGGAAAATATTGAAGTTTTTCTTTTACAGTATGCTTGTGATCCCTGGCCTATTCTCTGGATAAAAAAACTCAGGTTGGGGCTGGGAAGGTGGCTCAGTGGTAGAGTGCTTGCCTCACATGCATGAGGCCCTGGGTTCAACTCCTCAGCACCACATAAAAAGAAAAAGCCAAAAGTGGCATTGTGGCTCAAGTGGTAGAGCGCTCACCTTGAGCTGAAGAGCTGAGGGACAGCGCCCATGCCCAGAGTTCAAGCCCCACAACTGACCAAAAAAAAGAAAAAAAGAAAAAGAAAGATAAAAAGACTCAGGACTTTGAACATTAGCATCCTACTCTTTCAGAAGCCAGTTTTATAGACCAACCCAATCATTTAATATTGTATCACTAAGCTGAGATACTTCAAGCAACTTTTTAGCCATCAGAAAAAAGGTCCACTAAAAAAAAAAAAACACAACATATTATCATACATAATATATAAACATATATATCAACATAGCGCCATATAAAATGTTTTATTCACATCTTTACAGACTTAGTACTGAGGAAAATATTATGCTCTGATTTTCTATATCTTTACACAGTTACATATCCTTACACATTTTAATTAGACTTCACACTTGAATAATCAAGGTGGTTTTCCCCAGAAACTTTTTTTCTCCTTACAAAAGTATTTCTATGGCCTTACTTAGAATTTAACAAAGTAAAATGAATTTACATATGTCAGCAAAATATTTAGTAATTTTAAAATTAAATATAAGTGAATTATGTAATAAGATTATTAATTTCAACTTGCACAGGATAAGAAAATACAAGTCTGTTCTGAAAAAGACTTTCAATATTCCAGACCTAAGTATTGGAAATCAATTAGATGTTAGAAAAATCTATAGAATCCAAAATCCTTTAATGGATTTTATAAATTAGGCCTATTAAACATTTTGAGAGCATTTAAATTGTATGCTGAATAAAACAACTGTATTTAAATAATTTACTAGGAGTCATTAAAGTTGATTTATCCAAAAGAATTAAATATATTTGGCTCTATCCTCAGACTTATAGCTGAAATCTGTGTGTGGTGGCAAAACTAGATCTACCCAGGCAAGGTGAATGCCTGCATTCCCAGCTCTCACTCTGGAGGCTGAGGCAGGATTGTAAGTTCAAGGCCAGCCTAGCCTATATAATCAGACATTGTCTCAAAAAATAACTTATGACAATAATAATAAAACAAATGAAAAACATAAACATAGAAATTCTGGAGGCCTGGGTTCAGGAGCACCACTGTGGCATACTTTTTAAAACTCACTTAAGCACTTTTGAGTATTGGCCGTCTCATTAGCAAAACCAAAATATTTCCACTATCAGAGGCCTTGATTATTCAGGCGCTCACTGTATTGGTGACTTGAAAAAACAAGGCACATAAATGACTGGAGGCATACCTTAAAATTTATATGACTTACAAGTTTCACAGCCTACCCTCTTCAATTTTAGTAGTGGTTTCATTATTCTACTTCCATACTTGCACATAACATACTTGTTATTCACTTCCATCACTTTTTCATCCTTCCTTCTACCTCCCCTCCCCTCCCCCCAAAAAAGGGATGGCCTTTTTAATTTAAGGTATAGATTCTGCATATGAAAGAAAACATGAGTCTGGCTTTCATATTCCACATTTGGTTAGCTCCTCTACCTCCTTCCCAACAACGTCTCTTTTTTTTTATGATCTACATTCTGTATGAGTGAAAATGTTTGTCTTGACTCATTTAATATAATGGTCTCCAGTTCCACCAATTTTCTGCAAATGACACAACTGTTTCTTTATAGCTGAAAAATACTCCATGGTATATATAAACCATTTTATTTATCTACTCATTCTTAATGGGCACCCAATCAGATTCCATTCTTGGCTACTGTGCATAGTGCTGCAGTAAACATGGATGTGCAGGTGTATCTATTTATTGTTAATTTACTTTCCTTTGGATGTATGTACAAGAGTGGTAACAACATGATAATATGGTATATCTCATTCTAATTTTGGGTAGGAACCTTCATACTGATTTCCATATTAGCTGCATTAATTTATATTCCCAACAGCATACACACATCCTCCTCGAAAATCATTCTAACGAGGGTGGGATGGAATCTCAATGCTTTGATTTGCATTTCAAAAGACCCTAGGACCACTAAAAGCAAGTCAAAGTGCTTTGAAAAACAGAAAGCAGCAATCTGTTTCAAGCTTTCTACTACCACTTAGTATCCAACAATCCTAGCAAAGTGATCATCTCCCAGCACCTGAAGGATCCTATGAGCCAAACCACAGTACCTCTGTCCTCAGTATCAAGATGGGCAATAGGACCTAGATGCTTTTCTGTGCCTCCAATTAGGCACTCTGAAATTGGACTCATTGGCTTAATTTTGTAGTTCCTAATGAATATACATAAATACATTCCTATGTATATTCATTAGGAACTACAAAGTACAACAAACTCATACTTTATGAAATTCTGGCAACTCTAGTCATCCATGTGGCTCAGGGTGGTTCTTTTTAAATTCAGATAAAGGCTTTAATCAGCATCCTCTGATTTTTCAGACCCCCTTCTGATCATAATAGGGGAGTTTGGTAATAGATAGGATGGTCTTTATCTCTACCTTGTTCCAACTCAATTGTCTTCAATCAGCTCTATTAAATTTTTGCATACATATCGTCTATTTTTAATCTCTCCTGCTCATTGTTACCTTTTCCATTAATGAATTTAAAAAATTCAGCCTCATTATTATTAGTCACTGTTGGCAATTCCACCATACTTACTGGCCCATTTGGCTCCCAATTTTATTTGGGGAGTTTGAACTCAGGGCCTTGGGCCTGCAAAGAAAGCATTCTATCTATGGAGTCACATCTGCTGCAGCTACTTTTTCCAATAACATCTCATTTATTCACAAATTGTGATCCTCCTACTTATGCCTCCCTCTTAGCAGACAGGCATACACCATCTTACCAGCTCTTTATTGGGTGAGATGGAATCCTAGTAAGCTGGCCTAATAAGGTGGCCAAAGATAAAACTGGAAATAATTTTCAATTACCTAGTTAATACCTGGTGGACTTACAAATTTTACTTATATTCACAATAAAAGCCGGTATGCTAGCAGATTATGCACCAAATCATAGCTTGCAATCAGTTTGCAGAGAGGTATATAAGGTTAAAAGCAGAGGTTTAGCTTAAGACAGCAGGTTCCAGCATCTTTAAAATGGTCAATAACCACAGTCACTGAAAATCTGACCGAAAAGAAGACTGATCTACATATTAGGGCAATGTATCTATAAACATAGATAAACACAGATCTATAAACATAAATTTTAGCAACTATATTAACTTTAATGTTTCATCCATCTGTAGATTTTAATGCAACAGTTCTTTTAAAATGTCAATACTGCTGGGCGTCTGTGCTCACATCTGTAATCCTAGCTACACAGGAGGCTGAGATATGAGGACCACTGTTGAAAGCCAGCCTGGAAAGTCTGAGACTTTTATCTTCAATTAATCACCCAAAAAGCCAGAAGCAAAGCTGAGGCTCGTGATAGAATACATGCTTTGCACAAAAGCTCAGGGACAGCACCAAGGCCTTAAGTTCAGGCCCCTAGACCCCCCACCCCTCCACCTTCCACTGACACATACAACACTCAATACTTTCCTTAATGGAACATGTACACTCCTTAAAATACATGCACTTTAAAATAACTATCACTGCCTTTAGCTCTGAATTTAAATTCTTATTTGGATTCCAGGAAAGGGGACAATATACATATTTTGGAGGGGGGTTTGGTTTGTTTGGTTCTCTCCCCCACCCCCAGTTCATGCAACTTGCTGACTTTTCTAAAAAGGCAAATTTCTTTGGCACAAGAGAAAAAACGGAAACATATGACTGTAGTTGTACATGAACAAATCAGAGTGTACACTTCCTAGAGTATATGTATCACCAATGTTTACTGAAAACCCTGTGAAAGGAGACAAGGTTTAAAGAAATTTCTAATCAGTGTACTATGTAACAAATCCAGTAACAAATAGCTTTAATTTCTTTCAAACTCAGGTCCTTTCCCTGGAATAGTTATTTACCAAAACGAACAAATTCTTAAAAAACTAAGGTATTCAAAAGTGAGATATTTTCATATAGCAAATAGTTGTTCAATAAAAGCTTATGACTAAAAACAAGCTTATTTCTTAGCATTATAAAGAACCTTGCACAGACTGAAAACTATTTCATTAAAATCCATGCAGAGCATAAATGTTTAAGGTAGTAGGTGTATTTTGGTACTTGTCTTCTTTTTTATATGAAGATTAAACATTAACATGTGTTTTGAGTTTGCTTAAGGGCTGTACCAAACCAGGCATGCTTGCCATTCTCACTCCTGCCCTCTGATGAATTACAACTTTACAGAGGACCAGGTATGGTGAGGGTGGTACTTTACGACCAAATTTGGTTTGCTTACAAACAAAAGCACTTGCCTTAGACCTAGGGAAACAAACTACCTTCCAGAATTAAAAAAAAAAGTATGACAAACCTCTTTGCTCCAGGTTGATCACTGATAAAATGAACCTATCAATTTTATTTAGAAATGATCTCTAATTCATCTAAAAAATTATGAGGTCTGACTTACCACGTTTTAAGACTAAAAGCACATAAGAGAAACTACTGGTTTCGTTAGAAACCAATTTCTGGCATTTGAATCTGTGCATCTCTGCAATCCAAAGAACCACCAACAATAAAAATGCAAGGAGTGCTTTTTGCAGAGGACATCACCACAATGGGGACAATGAGTGTGAATTAGGGTGGGGAGGATTGAACACTGCCAACTAAATATATTGTCCAGAGCTGTGACTCAATGGTAGAATACTAGCCTTGAGCAAAATAAACTCATGGACAGCACTGAGGTCGAGTTCAAGGACCGGTGCACACATACACAGAAAAAAAGCACTCTCAACATAAAGTTATCTCTCTTTATGTGTTCAGAGGGTATTTTTATTATCCATTTATTTTGTATTTCAATTAATCAGTATTTAAAAATTCTAGATAGTATGTTTCCCTCAATTATTACTGCTTAATATTACCTAAAGCTATGCTGTCCAATACAATAACCACTGCCATATATGGCTAATTCTAACTAAGGGAAATTAAGATTTCAGGTCTTTAATCACATAACTACACTTCAGGGACTCTGTAGCTGTATGTGACTACTGACTACCATATTGGATAGTACAAGATTTCCATCATTAAAAGTGTAACTGAACAGTGCTAATTTGAAGAGATGTATGCTTCTGTACTATTTTTATGTTTATCTTTTTTAAAAAAAAGCATCACCACACCTCTGATATAGACAGCAGTCTTCAATATCTGTCTGTCTATCTATCTATCTATCTATCTATCTATCTATCTATCTATCTACCTATCTATCTATCTATCTATCTATCCTGTTCAATGAATGCACAGTACTGTTTATATCTATCTCTATAAGAGATCCCTTAAATGAGATAAATACTGTCTTCAATGAATGCACTAATGGTACCAACTTTCTGTTCCTTTAGTTAGGGTGAATTTATGAAGACTCAAGTAAAACATGAACTCAATTAGACATTCTCACATTATAAAGAATGAATATTTAGCATGCATGATAAAAGTAATTTAGCAGTCACATAATTAAAAGATATTTTCATCTGGAAATACTTGAAAAATTTGAAGTATGAAAGGATACAAAGCTGCTAATTTAAGTTTCTCAAGATGGGATTAAAAAAACCCTTTTATGGTACTAATTTATTTTACTCATGTTTAGCAAAAGGAAAATACTATTTATACAAGAATGGACTGTGCAAACCAAAACTAATAAACTACAATAAAAAAAATGTCAAAGGAATAACTGTAATTGAACAAGGACTAAAAAGTTAACATTAAATTTAATAAATGCAAAAATGCTATCGATTTGTATTGATATTTGGTATATGAGTTGACTACAATTGCCTTTAGGAAAATCAAATTCATGTTATTTTCAAATTTACTTTGTCAGAACACAAAGTAGAGTGATAACAATGATCATTTCTTCCAAATAACCAGGCTTTTTTCTGAGTAGATAAAAGCAAAACCCAATCATAAAATGCACCACCTGCATCTTAAAAGAAAAATGCAAACACAACTTAACCATACTTTATTTGACTGCATCTTATTTAGACAACTTGCACATTTCAAATCCCATTAAATCTCTCTCTCCAAAAGGATATGGGACAATAGGAAAAAATTATAAAGCAATATCCAATCATCAAACAGTCCAATATTTTGGGATACACACTGTATCTTATACTCAACTCGTATCTGATGTCAATATAATTTATGGTTATGTCTTTACAAACCTGAAAGCCCTATAAGTTTATAGCACTCATTTTAGTGATGTCATGGTGCACTTAAAAGTAACTGAAGTGCTACTGATTTGATTTTATCTGATTTGATTTTATCTATGTTCCTCAACAGTAATGAATGTCATGATTTTTGACACCACAATAACATATATATCCAGTCTTATACATGTCAGCTAATACTGTAACACAAGGCAAAGAAAGTTAAAACATGACAAACTCCTTTACACAGATTTGTCAAGCAAGCAGGAAGGTAACCTGTAGAAGTAAAAAATATTGAAACCAATTTTTATTTTTTTGCCGGTCATGGGTCCTGAACTCTGGGCCTGGGCGCTGTCCCTCAGCTCTTCAGCTCAAGGCTAGTGCTCTACCACTTGAGCCACAGCACCACTTCCAGCTTTTTCTTCTTATGTGGTGTTGAGGAATCGAACTCAGGGCCTCATGCATGCAAGGCAAGCACTCTACCA